ACACTGTTGATGGGATTGTAAAAGTACAACCACTATGGAAATCAGTATGGTGGTCCCTTAAAAGATTAGGCCCGGAACCATTATATGACCAAGCTATACCACTCCTAAGTATTAATCCTAAAGAATTAAAGTCAGCATAAGAGAAAAAGGGAAAATACTGGTGAAAGATATTGGCCAAATTATATTGCTATATTGTGTACATTATGAATGAGTAACAATAAATCCCACCATTATGTACAATTATAATTCACCAATTTTAAAAATTGTGGGAAAAAAAGTTTTAGGGCTATAATTGTATCTCAGTGGTAGAGCCTAGTATGTGTGAGGCTCTGAGTTTGATCCACAGCACTGCAAAAACGGAAAAAAAATCAGATTAGTACTTACAGATCTAAGATAGATGACTCATCTATGGGGATGTCTGCCTTGCATAAGTTTTAATAACTTAAAGAAAAGGGATTATTAGGATATGGAGAGGACTTTGGGTTGACTTTCCCTAAAAATAATGACTTAGGGACTACAAATTTTAACACATTGCTGCATCTGTTCCCAACCTAAGTCAGAGTTTCATGAACAGGAAGCACAGTTATGTTTCAATTTTAGATAAACAGAAAATAAGATTTTTTTATATGTATGTCCCAGACAATATTTGGAACATATTTACATTAAAAGATCATTTCTTATTCATCTGAAATTCAAATTCAGTGAAAGGTGTCCTCTCTTTTACCTGGCAGTCCTTCAAGCTAATAAGTTAAGCCTCTTTTCAGGATAACCTTGAACCATCTGCTTAGTATTTCATGCTTAGATATGATAAAACGATTCTTACGTTGGTATTAAAGAATTTTTTGTGTGTGTATCATTGGAATTCACAGAGAGTCAGAAAGTTAAATTTTAGTTTCTTCCTTCAAGAATACTACTGAGAAGAGAGAAAACTTATTTATTGTCTTCTAACCCAAAGATCTGGCAAAATAAATAATCCTATGATGAGCCTTGGACATTTATTCATTCGAGATTATTGGCAATTCTTGGATATAAAAAAGTTCAAATTATTTAGGGTAAACTTATAACCACTCCTAATTATTACATCAGGCAGGCACTCTGCATCTGAACTTGAAACCTATCATCTCTTGATTTACTAATTTACTAGCTGCATTTAATTTGAATGTAAAACAATTTACAGTTGGAATACTACTTGCAATAAAGGGCTTTTATCCTATGAAGAAATGGCACTAGGTACTAAGAACAATTTTTGATGGATCTTGAATTAATGTCTTGTGTCAACATTTAAAAAAATCAAGTCATAATTGCCCTGTCACTCACATAATCTCTGGTGGCTGTCAGTAGTTCTCAACCTGGCTACCTGGTGTTAAACTTGGAAAGATTTTTAGAATGCTTGTGACAGTCTTTATGCTCCATATTTGTGACCCAATCAGTACAGGTGCCTGGAACGTTGTATATGTAAAACATCAGGTTATTCTAGTGTGCAGTTAGGGTTGGGAATCACAAATCTAATAGAACTGTGCGATATAAGGAGAATGCTAAAATTTCCTCCTTTCTCTGCCTCTGTTCTTCTTTTAATCTTTGTTGAATAAATGAACAGACATATCACTATGAAAGCAAGCACAGTGAGCCATCTGTTTGCTTGGATTCTGCATTCACCAGTTCAACTAACCATGGATCAAAAATATTTTTTAAAAAAATCCATACTGAGCATGTATATACTTTTCATTATTCCCTAAACAAGGCAGGATAATACCAATTTATATAGCATTTACATTGTATTAGGTGTTATAAGCAATTTAGAGATGGTTTAAGGTATGTAGAAAGACTTATATTTAGGTTATATGCAAATTTTATGACACTTTATATAAAGAACTTGAGCCTTCACAGATTTTGGTATCCTTGGGAATCCCAGAAATTAAAATTCCTTAAAGACACTTAGGGACAACTGTATATAACGATTTTACATACTGGTTTATACTTTAATTTATCCCTGAGAAATTTATCATTGGCCATGTATAGCTATAGAACTTTAGGAATATTAGTCTTAAATATACAAAATAGGCAGAATCTCACAATAAGTTTGTGATCCAGCTGGACTTGCCAGTACATCAGGAAGACAAGGCAAGGCAAAAAAAGAAGCAGCTTGTCTCTAGGGAAGTCCCTTTCTATTCCTGTTTTGTTAATGTCCCCTTGTACATCTGTATTGTTCCAGAGTACTCCAATTCCTTATACTTACATTTCTTCAACAAAGTGAAATTTGTTAAATCTACTAAAAATGCATTTAAATCCACCTATTTCCTGAACGTACACTTTTGAATCTTGAAAAAAAAAATGATGTTCTCTCCTACTTTGATGTTTGGAAAATTTCATCTATAGTTGTATCTATAGTAGTTGGGATAGGTGAGTTTACCAGTTGTAATCTGTAGAAAGAGAATAACACTCAGTCTTCATATTTTATGTGTAAAAATCAAGAATCCCTAAACCATCCAGTGCTATCTAGTTCATCCATGTATTTTACCTTCACTAGAGACAGTGATGTTTCTCCTCTCATTAAATGTTTGCCTCCAGCTAATTTTCCTTTGAAAACTTCCTGCATGATAAATAGAAGAGAGGAATATCAATTTCCTTCTGGCTGGAAGTTGTTCCACTTCTGGCTCTCACAGGGATAATCTCACCTCTGTGGTCCTCTGTGATTTATGACGCAGCCCACCTGCCACTAGTCCTTCTCGCATCCTTCCCCTTTCACTTCCTTTGCCCTCACTTTGGCCCCACTGAGCTTTTGCTCTGAGACCAGGTGCTGCTCACAGCATTAGTGAAAAACCACAGAGAAGCTGCAGAAGGCCTCATGGTGCTTGCTTGCATAATTCTCTTAACTGCCCCCTTGTATGGGATTGCAAAACGCTTTGAGCACCTCAGAAGGAAGGCACTGTGTAAACATGAGGTATTTTTTTTATTAGTTGTTTATTTGTGTTCATTATTAATGATTTAAAAAAAATGAAAGCCTCAGAGCTCTACTTTGGTAATTTCTTCAAGGTTTGAGATCATGTTTTAGGGCAGTGGCTTTCCATAGTTCTCATACTGCATCAATGTTTTCTGTAAACAGAACTTTAGGGCTTTCCACCTGTGGTATTTAATTGTGATGATTATTTATTTTTAAATTTCCTGTTTAGAATTAAAATTGTGGCAAAATCTGATGATACCATATTTAGAAATCGGACTCTTTGGGGATAAAATTCTCTTGTTGTGTAAATCGGGCAATCTTTGGTCCATATATAGAGAAAATAATACATTTTCTTAGCCAGAAGTCAACAGGTATTCTGTATTGTTGGTTTTATTTAGAGGAAAACAATTCTGAAACCAAAGGCTAAATGATTACATTGAGGTACTACTATATTCAGTTTTCCTATGGATTAACTTTTTGGAATTCTTTTTTTCCCATTAACTGAACCCTTGAGTTCTCCAGCTCTTGCTCAATAGGTGTGCACACTGAACAAACTTCCCATTAAATATTGGACAAACTTTCTTTGTAGAGGATTTAAATTGTTGTAGAATCATTTTTTATTTATATATGAAGCAGAATTCTCAAGTTTATTATTTCTGGACTTAATTATTTGGGGAGAAAAAACTACAACTTAAATAAATATTCTTCAAATAATCTGGAAATTTTAAAATTAAGTAAAAAATGGAGGCTTAAGTGAGCTATTATAGGTATTGAGTGTCATACAGTTTTAGATTCATTGTCAAGAATCCAAATGTGTGCTAACAGGAAATCATGACTATTTGGATTAAGAAATCAGAGTAGGGATAATTTGATAGGGCTATTTTAGAACTTTATCCTTTAAAAATTTCTTCTGTGATATGTTCAGAAGCTAGTTTTCTTTCTACCAGTTTCTATAGAGGGAACATAAGAAAAGTAAGGTGATCATCAAATCATCATAGTGCTGCATAAAATGCTTTACTTTGGGATGAAAGAGTTACACATGGAGAGACTCATGCCTAAAATTTGCTTTAAAGTGTTCAGAGCATCACAAGTTGACAAGACTGGCACTAAAAGAATTGAAGTTTTATTTTTCCATTTAAGGGGTGGGCACCAAGTCAGGATAAGCATGTTGCTACAGTATGGACCTGTTATATCCTGGAGTGTGTCTAGGGTCACTTTGGCATGTGTGGCTTGGCAGGGATTTAGTGCTACCTTCTTGTTCTGCTCTTCTCTCTCCTGATGTCTCTCCTTTATTTCACAGTTTGTGTTTTTCATGTTTCGTTTTTATGCCATTCATTTTAAGGAAGTCTATGTTTCCACAATGTCACAGTTGTGCTGTGTCCAAACTGCCTCCTAACCCTTCCCCTTGCTGTTTTGTCAGTGTTACATTTGTACCAGTTCTCTCAAACCTTGAATTGGATGCTCTCCCTGAGATAAGATTTTTTCATTGCTTAAGCTTCTAAAGCTTTTCAAATAGCTAGAACTATATCAGATGACCCCGGTATCAACTAGTGCACATAGCGAGACTTTGACCTGAGAGCATATTTCTAGAACTTGCTTAGCAAATAAATGCCTTGAGCAGATAGAACCATGGGATAGTACTTTGATGTAAATAAATGCCCGCTTTTTCTTGTCTATTCCCTGACAAGTGATTTTTGCAAGGCTAGCTTCTGAATTTGGTTGGCATTTCTTTTGTACTTTTTTGGCCATGGACCAACATTCAATCGTAACTATTGCTTCCCTGCTTTTGTAACAGGGTGGCAGGAAGGAGGGAAGGAAGGAAGGGTGGGTCATTGTCAATACCCAATTAAATGGGCTGTTTTGAGAATGCACAATCTGGGTCCCTTTGACTTAACTTCCACTTATATCCCTTTATTGAAATCACTAACAAGCTGTGTTTCTACATTCATAGAATATCTAGAGTTTGTGTATTTTTGTGTTATTCTTGGAAATGTTTGCTAACACCCTGCTTGGGGTATGAAGGTAATTTCTATTCTATTTTCTGATTTCTGAACTTCAGGAGAAGGTAAAGCTTGATGCTGAAAGGGAAAAACTAGAGAGGCTTCAGGAGCTTTACTCCGAGCAGAAGACCCAGCTGGACAATTGTCCTGAGTCCATGAGGGAACAGTTACAACAACAACTGAAGAGGGTCAGTAGCAAACAGGAATGCACCCATTGTTATTCTTTTTTCTTTTTTCCCCTCCTAAGTAAGTTCCACTTACCTATGGCTTCCTACTTTACATAGGATAAATTCTTAGCTCTAGTCATTATATACTTTTAAAATAGGAATATGCATGCTAACAGTAAATATTATTCCATACTAATCAGTTAAAATATTCCCTATTAGAATCTTTCTTCTAATTTATAATGCAAAAGCATTTCTGGATTTGTTTTTTGTAACTAAAGAAAACTAATTCCTGATTTAGGACCGACACCAAAATTGCAGCGTTTAAATCAGCTAGCATCTCCCTTGCCCCTTCTGATGTATTGTACTATTTTTCCTTGATTTTTTTTTCTTAGTGGATTTTATGTTCTCTCCCCAAATTATTCTATTCTGATCTGCCCTTCACCTCTTTCCATTGCTTTGCTTTTCTATTTCTTCCTGCTGATTAGTAACATGGAACTCATTAGCATGATTACAACAGTCAAACACCAAGAATCAAGACACAGGGCATTAGGAATGTCCTCAGCATCTTCTTATACAAGCATCCTATTTTTCAAAATACTTATTAATATTTAAATTTTCTCAGGTTGAATAACCTGAACTACCACAGTCAGAGATGACTGACTGTGGTAGCTTCTACCACTGATATTGAGGTCTACTAATTCTGTTTTCCAGAATTTCTACTAATTCTCCTATCCTGAATGTTTGCAGTGTTTAACACAACCATGCTGTTTCTATTCTGCAAAGAAAGCTTCCTAGGTGGATAATTTTATAAACATGGACACAGCCACTTAGTATTTTACACTTGCTTGACAACTGAGTTGTTTCTTCTGAACAGCAGCCCAAACCAACTTTGATCCTGGAGCAGCTGTTATTAAAAGTCTCGCTCCTCTAAAGGAGTCATGTAATAGTAATTTGTCCTAAGTGAGTAACAATTTATGATTTCATGAGTCAAAAAATGAGGCTAGTTCATTTGTTTTGTTTGTCCCTTCTTGTTAATAAGCTGAGTTAAAATGTCAGTTGACACACTTTTGAAAAATTTCAAGATGACCTCTAGAACAAAAACACTGATACATCTGAGAATAAAACTGGATAATGAAAAATCACAATTAAAACTAATGTATTGCAGAGGTTGAGAGCATCTTAGTAAAATATCCAATGTAGATAAGTTAAACATCAGCATAATAATTTTAACATTTATTTCTTTCAGTATTGAATCAAAGAAAGTTGTGACAATTGTGTCTTCCTCTTTACTCATTTTAGTCAGTAAAGGTGAACTTGCTATAAGAAGATAAAACTTGTTGTCTCTTGGTGTCACAATTCTCTGGAAATTTTGTGATAAAAACGATTGGAGAAGACTAGTATTTATAAAAGTATTTCAGTTGGTAATTGTTTTGTTTATCCCACTTAACAGAAGAGGTGGGAAACCTGAATCTTACATTTGTTTACTGTTTTTCAACTCCATTATGGCCAATGATTTTACACAGTCATTGTAATTTTTCATTTAAGGTCAGCATTGTACTTTTATATTTTGTCCTTTCTTTCCTCTAGTTGCCCTTTTATTATTTGTATTCTTTATAAATGTTGCTTCCAATAGAAGCTGATAGGTTCTATTAATAACCTGGACCCAGTTTAATTTAAATAATTACTGTATGCATGATCTAGATTTTGAAGAAGAACTCATAAATTTTCATGTGTTCTAAGAATTTTGACTGCAAAGGAGGAAAGGAAATAACGCAGACAGTCTGTTCCATTAACGAAAGCAAAGACTCTTTCCCTTTCCTCTCCAAGCAGAGTGTAAAATTCTTATCATAAAGACCCCTTTCCTTAGCAGAGATGACTGACTGTGGTAGCTTCTACCACTGATATTGAAGTCTACTAATTCTGTTTTCCAGGGATGATGACCAGCATAACCCTTCACCAGACCCTTGGCTTAATCAGTAAAACCTTACTTATTTCATAAGAAGCCCATTTATATTAAGAACTTTCTGTGGTATCACACTTATTTCTCTTTAGACTTTGAATCTTCAGAATACCATTCATTACCAAGTTTTTCCAAAGGCATTTAAACCA